AATCAAACATTTGATCGCAGCCCTAGTTTGTTTGTAGGACTATTCTATCGATTACTGTCTTTGTTTTTGGTTTTTGGTATTTTGGAAATTTATCATGGAGATGAATGTTTCAAATTTAATTATTAATGTATCAGAGTATCCTCTAAAAGCTTGTTCTTTTAAAATGATATTTTACATAGTTCTTTAAATTTTATAATTAGAATATACACTCACTGAGCACTTTATTAGGAACACTGTACTAATACTGGGTAGGGCCTCCTTTTGCCCTCAAAACAGCCTCAATTGTTCGTGGCATGGATTCCACAAGATGTTGGAAACATTCCTTTGAGATTCTGGTCCAGTGGTCCTGAAGAACACTGAACTCATTGTCATGTTCATGAAACCAGTATGAGAGGACTTTTGCTTTGTGACATGGTGCATTATCATGCTGGAAGTAGATTAGAAGATGGGGAAATTGTGGTCATGAAGGGATGCACATGGTCAGCAACAATACTCAAATAGGCTGTGGTATTCAAGTGATGATTGATTGGTATTAACGGGCCCAAAGTGTGGCAAAACATTCCCCACACCACTACACCACCTCCACCAGCCTGGACTGTTGACACAAGGCAGGTTGGGTCCATGGATTCATGCAGTTGGCTCCAAATTCTGTCCCTACCATCTGTGTGCCTCAGCAGAAATCGAGATTCATCAGACCAGGCTACGTTTTTCCAGTCTTCAACTGTCCAGTTTGGGTGAGTCTGTGCCCACTGCAGCCACAGTTCTGTTCTTGGCTGACAGAACTGGAACCGGACGTGGTCTTCTGCTGTTGTAGCCCATCCGCCTCAAGGTTCGATGTGTTGTATATTCTGAGATGCTTTTCTGCTCACCACAGTTGTACAGAGTGGTTATCTAAGTTACTGTAGCCGTTCTGTCAGCTCGACCCAGTCTGGCCATTCTCTGTTGACCTCGCTCATTAACATGGGCACAGTTTCTGTCCGCAGAACTGACGCTCACTGGATGTTTTTTTCTTTATTGCACCCTTCTGAGTAAACTCTAGAGACTAGTGTGTTATAATTCCAGATCAGCAGTGTCTGAAATACTCAAACCAGCCCGTCTGGCACCAACAATCATGCCACGGTCAAAATCACTGAGATCACATTGTTTCCCCATTCTGATAGTTGATGTGAACATTACTCGAAGCTGCTGGCCAGATCTGCATGATTTTATGCATCGCACTGCTGTCACACGATTGGCTGTTTAGATAATTGCACGAATGAGTAGGTGTACAGGTGTTCCTAATAAATTGCTCAATGAGTGTATGATTAATCTGTTAGTGTGTACTGTATATGAAAATTTTTTGGAAATATTTTATTTTTACTTTTGGATGACAAAGTTATGAGAGAGGCTAAATCGCTTGTAGTTAAGCCCTTCTAATGGTAGAGTGAATTTATATTTCTGAACTTGTTTATTCTGTATCTGTACATTACAGCATTGGAACATCTATATTTTTTTTTCTCAGGTGGAATATCGAATAGTTTTCTTTCTCATCAGTACTTTTTTCATGATGCCTTGTCTGTTATATTACTTAGTAAAGTAGGCAATATAAGATTACTGCAGCTTCACATCTCTCCCTTAAGCCTTTTCAGGAATCTGTGTGTGTGATGCTTGTGGCATGAAGCTTAAAGGCCATCTGTAATGTGGAAATTCTCCAGTGTGATGGAGACAACTTGATGGAGAGTGGGAAAAACACTTAGGAATAGCAGAGGTGCCATCTGATGATTAAGAGATCCAATCACTGACATGATTTAAGGCTTAGTAGTGTAGCTGTCTGGTGTCTGCTTGGTATGTGTGTGTCTGGGGTCATGAATAGAGGTAGAAGCAATTTGGGGGAGTGATGTTTGATTTGCACAGAGTGAATTTGGTACATGGTTGTGTGGTTTTTAGCTTTGTTTGGCCACTTAGTTTGGGTTTTAACCTGCTTTTAACTACACATGTACAAAATGACTGCAGTATGTATCCTGCGTTCATTTAAAAAAAACATTCCAGAAATGTTGTCATGAATTTGCTGAACATTTTACAGATCAACATGGAAACCTGACAGACATGGATGTTTGGCTCTGATGTGCCATTTAGTAGATATTGCTTTTAATCCTCCAGATGGACATAAGATGCACAGGGAAGTAGATGAATAATGCCGCCTGTGTTGCCGTGTAGTCACACTGCATGTAAAACTCTGGCCTTAGTGGACAGGTAAAATGTGTGCTTGTTAAAATGTAAGTAAAATGCCCTCTCTTCACTGGTCTCTTCTCAGTCTGTATGCTATAATTGGGAATGAAATGTTTGTCTTTCCTACAGTGTGAAACTGCACTTTCATACAGTGCTTTCAAAGAGCCACCTTTTCTTGTAAAACATAAGTTACGTATTTGTTTTAATATTGACAGTGTGTTTACGCATGTATGCATGTCTTGTGTGTTTTCAGGCACCACCGTCCATGGTCAGCACAGAACAGAGGCAGCACGCAGAGCACATATTCCTCTCCTTTCGCAAGTCCAAATCGCCTTTCGCTGTTTGTAAACACATTCTAGGTAAGTGGTAGCTCCCTCTTTTGAAGTCTTTCAGGGACGTTTATTATTTTTTTCTGATTAAAGGGTTTAGGACACTATTCTGGTTTCACTAATGCAGATTAGTTAAAGAGCAGCTCCAGCGAATTTCATTAGAAAATGTCACAAAAAGACATGATTTTGGAATGTGTGGAAGTGTGGAAGAATATTTTGTAACACATTTTGTAGCACTGTGTCCTTCTCCACAGTGTGAATTTAACTTATGTGAAAAATTGGAATATGGCGTAAAATATTTGCGAATAAAGCACCTTTTCCATCCCATGTGTTCAAGAGAACGAAATCATCACTTCCAGGGAAACTGGTGCAAAGCATCAATACAAATGGAAGCTGTTGCAACCAGGGAAGCCACTGTGGCTCTTCTTTCCAATATGATAAATTACTTGCGCTTCAGAACACGCAGACGAAACAACATTTGAGATGCTGTGCAATGAGACTGGTCCACTGGTTATCCAATCACATGACTTTTTGATGCGCATCAGGGAATTTATTCAGTAAATGTGTTTCCATCGTACTATATGCGCATGTGTTCTTATCGAATACAAAAATTATCTGCCTCAACTGAGCGCACATGTTTATTTTATGCACGTTTTGGAGATTTTATTCACATCTGGTGTTTCTGTCGTTCCAGCGTCTTTTTTTAATTTTTTACAATTTTACCTTCACTGGAACTAAGAGGCCCAAACATGTTCCAGCATGACAATGCCCCTGTGCACAAACTTTAGTTTGCCAAGGTTGCTGTGGAGGAACTCAAGTGGCCTGAACAGAGCCCTTACCTCAACTTCACTGAACATCAAAATCTAGTGGAAAGCCTTCCTAGGAGAGTGGAGGTTATTAAAACAGCAAAGGGGGACTAAATCTGAAATGGTGTTCAAAAAGCAAATGTTCAAAAAGCAAATATGAGTGTGATGGTCAGGTGTCGGCAAACTTTTGGCCATATAGTGTAGCTTAGGATGGCTGCAAGTAATACACATTCACATGAGAATTCCATGCTGTGTCCCAAATCGCATTTTACACGCTAAATAGGATGCCTAAATAGCAATGATACTGTTGTACTAACATAGTATTATGTAGGATAGAATGTTGTTTGAGACATGCCTCTAAGTTTTACAGAAGTGCTATGAGAATAATCAGCTGACTCAAAAATAAAATAGAGACAGATCCATCAAAAATACACACACTAAAGGTGAGCCTTACTCTTACCCAGTACAACAGAGATTTAAATGTATATTGTACAGAGTAACACACCAAAACCAGAATTGAGCCACTAGCCATCAAAATGTTAACATGCTAGGTCACATGCTTCACTGAGAATAAAAACCATAGTTAAAATTCATTGATAAGCATATACAATAAAGCAAGCAAAATCCAAGATTGATTCACGTTTGCTTGATTCTGAAATCCAAAGGATTCTTAAATCCACAAAGTACAGAGGAACATACCAAGGGCACTTGTTAGTGTATGTTAGTACACTGGCTAAAACAGATCACAGGATAAATAGACACACACATGTCAATTCTGCCCAATTTAACCAAGTTTGAAACACCAAAATTCACCCAATCCATCATACACATCCTGTCAGTCACAACCTGGCTGTGATGAGTTTGCTAGCTGCATCAGAAATAAAGGGACTTGCGTCCTGCTGGGGAAAATAATCATTGACAAGGTGCTGTGATGTGGCCTGACACAAAGTGGATTATTTTCCTATGAAAGCATGTTCCGAAGTGTTTTATTCCTCTTATATCACAGAAATTTGCCCAAAAATACAAATTTTGATTTACTAATGAATGGCACAACATATGTTTTATGTTTATAGTTTTATATAAAGTATAGATAAAGTATTTTATATATAGCTTATACAACTGTTTATAGTTATATATAATGTTGTGGCATGTTGGCAAAACAAGTGAGTTTCTCTTATCACTTATGTTATAGCAGCTATAAACAGATGTTCCCTCACCAGCCTCTCTCTTTTTTTTCTTTTCTTTTTTTTTTTCCCTTCTCTTTCTTTACATTAATAAGACAAAAATGCTGTGGTCCACTACTCATACCTGCCACTTCACCGCTTCAGAAAACCCTACTTACACTCTTGTATTTGTTTTGTGTAGTGTTTAATATGATCGTCATAGAAAATATAAGCAGATATTTTTAGTCATAAGTGGAAATTCTGCTGTTTGACCTTTGTCAGTTGTAACCAATTTGGTGCTGTAGTGAATCACACAAGAAGAAGAAAAAGGAGCCTTTATTTGTCACATATGCATTACAGCACAGTGAAATTCTTTTCTTTGCATATCCCAGCTTGTTAGGAATCTGGGGTCAGAGTGCAGGGTCAGCCATGATACAGCACCCCTGGAGCAGAGAGGGTTAAGGGCCTCGCTCAAGGGCCCAACAGTAGCAGCTTGGTGGTGCTGGGACTTGAACCCCTGACCTTCTCATTCGTAACTCAGAGCCTTAACCACTGAGCCACCCCTGCCCTCTGGGAAATAGAAGGAGCAACACTGCTCTGTCAACCTTCCTGTGATGGATTAATGTAGTTCAGTGCAGATGAGCAGCTCTGATCATGTTTTAGAATAAATTGTAAATGGAAGTAGGGAAATGGTGGCTCATTTGTTACTGAACAGAAGGTTGTGAGTCCCAGCATCACCAAGCTGCCACTGTTGAGTCCCTGAGCAGCCCTGTACCCTCAACTGCTAATCTGTACCCTGTCTCCATAGTACATCACAGTGAATAAAAGTGTCAGCCAAATGAATGAATGTAAATGTACAAAATAGAATAAACATCATCTCATGAACTTGTGTATACATTGTTTTTTGAATGCTTTATATTAAGCCAATGTTGAGTGGTGTTGCTCTTTATTTCCCAGAGACCAGTAAGGTGGACTATGTGCTGTTCCAGGCTGCAACAGCCATAATGGAGGCTGTAGTCAGAGAATGGATCTTGCTAGAGAAGAACAGTATCGAGTCTCTCCGAACATTCCTTCTCACCTACGTCTTACAGAGACCCAAGTAAGTGTGACTGAAAGAACCGATTTGGTTCCTATGTTTCTCCTGTTGGCTTTTCCTGATATTGTTACACTTTTTTCTCTTTAACTTTCCTTCTCTCCTCATCCTCAGTCTGCAGAAATACGTTCGAGAACAGATTTTATTGGCAGTTGCAGTTATAGTGAAGCGTGGTTCATTAGACAAATCCATCAACTGTAAGAGCATCTTCCATGAGGTCAGCCAGCTTATCAGCAGTGGCAATCCTACAGTGGTAAGCTATGGGAATATATTTAAAACCTCACTAATAAAAGTGCATAGAGAAGTATAAAAGAGCGCAGCAGATCACACTGATACTTCTTTGGGGCTGTATAATGGCAACTGATCATTTTGCTCACTAGAGGGTGCTGTGTGTCTGCTGGACTGTAGGGAGATGAGGTGCAACGAAAGTGGCACTGATTAAAAGAAAAAAAAACTTTGAGCTTGCGTGTATAGCAACATGAAACTCAGGTTAACTTTTGTTTCTAGTAATAAATTAATAGTTTATTAATATTAATTTAAGTTAATTAATAACTAGTTAATTAATATTAAATGCTTCGTTTTGTTAGTTGATGGGCAAACAGTGTAATTATTTGAACAAATTGTAAGGTAATAACTAATCGAAAGTCGATAAGTCACGCAGCGCAACTTACTGCATGAAAGCCTATTACTGAGGTCCAGTTCCTTGATTTATCTTCTACATTCTCATAAATATTGTGTTTTGGTCAGATTCCAGCCAAATAAGCAACTCCAGTTTGGAAGTCAATGGTGTGGTTTCTGAAGGAACTCCAACCATAATTATTTGTGAATTATATGTGAATAACATTTCAAGCACAGAGATTGAGTGTTTCTTGAGTGCTTTGTTGGATTGACAGGTTAGGTTTTGGTCATTAGTGTTTGTTTTGAGTAATGTTAAATATTTTAAAGATAATCAGAGACTGAACAAACTGTTTTGATTGTGACCTGTGTGAAATCATAAATAACACCTATTCATGCTTCACTGCCACATTCTATTTTATTTAATTTGAGACAAAATCACTGAGCAAACAACTTAAACTGGCTGAACAAACTTGAGTGGTGGAACATTGCATGAAAATATATTTACTTGCTGAAGGATTTTATTTAGTGCTTCACTGTAACAGTATGTCAGTTTTGATAGTTAGGTGGCCAAAATAAAACTGATCGTAGGCCTTGGATCGGGCAGCTTCACTGTATAACATGCATAACTTGACCGTGTCAGTGAATTTATAAAAATATTTCAGAAGCCCCTTAATTTAATTTACTTTTAATTTTTAATTTTAAAAAGGTTGAAAATGTTCATTTTACATTTATTTGCTGTACAGTTTGATTATCTACAGTATACAATATACAGAGTGTCCTAAAAGTCAGGAACCAATAAGAATAAAACTACCTGTACTTAATTTTGTATTTATTATTTACAACATAAATGTTCACCCTTACACTCTGCGCTGTTTCTCACTCTACACTGTTCCTTTGTATCATGCTTTTGCTCAACATATTTGGATTGACATACTTGCTAATCATATAACCATTACTTCCTGACTTTTCGGACACACTGTATAATGCTAAAAATAGGAGCATGAATGAGTTTTTGAAGACTGATTGCAGTGTACCTTTTATTTTTTGCATTCTTTTGTTATGGTGTGGTTGGTAAATTTCATGAATGAAATTTGTATGTATTTATGGCTGTTTTTGTCTCTGAAGCAAACACTGGCATGCTCCATCCTGACAGCTTTATTAAGCGAGTTCTCCAGCTCCAATAAAACCAGTAATATTGGCCTCAGTATGGAGTTCCATGGCAGCTGCAAGCGTGTCTTTCAGGTCAGCCCTCTTGTTTGATCGTTTCCTGTTTTTAAAAAAAATTTTTTATTGTTCCGTTTTTTAATGTATGCGTGCCTTCTTATGTTGTAGGAGGATGACCTTAAGCAGATCTTTGTTCTCATCATGGAGGTTTTGCAGGAGTTCAGTCGTAGGGAGAACCTCAATGCCCAGATGTCGTCTGTGTTCCAGCGTTACCTAGCACTGGCCAATCAGGTGCTCAGCTGGAACTTTCTCCCACCTAATCATATCCTTTTTAGAAAAGGTGGACGTTGCTGTGCATTGTTCTTAAATTGGAACTGAAGTAACTTCTGGGCCGGTATGTATAATGCTTTTGAGAATTGCTTTTAAAAACAGTCTGCTCTGAAATAGTCTATTATTTCCTCATTTAACAACTCACTGTATTAAAAAAAAAACATACATAAAGTTGATATCGATATTGATTTAGCCATGGGCTAAGGTGGGCTCTTTGGTTGAAATTTTTCATTCTGTGAGCAGTCACTCAGGCAGAGCTGTTACAGGTACAGAGATGGCCCGAGACCCAGGACTCTTGATAGTATAAGAGCTCTTAATAGTGTATGTAATTTGGTTAGCATGTAAGTAAACCGTTCTTATGAAACTAAGAATGGAAGCACTTTATAACTGTGGTAATTTATATTTACATTCCACATATTACATCATCTTACTTTTGAGATGAGATGAACAGAGCCGCCAGGTGAGAACATGCAACGCGTTCGAAATGGCTGTGCCTCAATCAGCCGTTCTTATAGTGTGGCTGGAGATACTTGTTTACTCAATTCTATTATGTAAAAAAGCCTAATGTCTTTATGAGCTTTGCATCATCAGTCAATTGCAGTACATTTTTACTAGAGTGCATGCCTTTTCTGTCTGAGTGCTTTTGCTATTCTTAGCAGTTAAATGAAACACTGCTGAATACTGACTCATTTAAGAGTACTCTTAAAGCTAAAGAATTTTTATACTTTCTTCTATTCTTAGGCCTAAGTGTAGGAGTCAATTTCCTGAATTTTTCCTGATATTTTGGCACTTAAGCCCAAAATTGTACTACATTGTACTTTATACATACTAGCACTGATCCTGCTTCATACACTGCTTATTGAAAATGATTATTGAATACGATCTGCTATTCATGTTAATTTCAAACAGATTAATTTTTTTCTCAAACTGCATGTTGAAAATTTTTATTTATTAGAAACCTGATCGAGTTGTTTCAGATAATTCCAGCATTAATTGGAAAGGGCAGATATATTAAGACTAGAATCTATGATCAGCAATGCATTATTCTCTGTACACGATATTATCATTGCCATAATATCTGGTGACGTTTATTGGCGATTACATTACCAGGTGCACAGGAGTGCCGCAAAAACATCAGAGTCACTAATGTTAGAGTGTAAAGGGTTAATGTTTAGGTGCACTGCATTATGAGTATTGTAGTTTGGGGTGTAGTTTGAAGGTCCGCTCATCATTATGAAGGGAAAAAACACAAATAAATATGGAAAATTACCCCAGAGTGGCAGAATGGTTAGCGCATTCCAGCCCTGGAGCTCTCCAGGAACAGAGGCTCCCCTGAGCAGGAAAGGTAACACTAGTATGAGTTATCACACAAAGACAGACCAAAAGAGCAGCCTTTTTCTCCCCAATAAAATGGCAGATAAGCCAACCGACATGTGAATGTTTTGTGCAGGTGTTCTGAATTCTCTGATATTAACAGACACTTCTTGGAAGCCCTGCCCCCTTCCCCCAATCTCACGCGTTCTTAACCCACACAGCTCACTCGCTTTCTGCAAAGGTAAATGCTGTGAAATGTAAAATCAATCAGTGAATATTCAACTTGGCTAATATTACGCAAGTATATATTTAACACAAGTTTACTATATTTATTACGAGTGATACTGAAACATATTGGCCGAAAATGATCAAAACAGCAGACAAAAGAGGAAATGCTCGAAGGTTTTGACTCAAAATGGTAAAATAGGCCTACAACAAAGTGTCAGATTTTACACTTTACAAATAATGTTAATTATGATGATAATTAGAAGGGGATTAAATGTGGGTTTTTTTTTCTTTCTTTTTGTCCAGCGCTCTCCTCTGCTCTCCTGCTCAACACTGAGCAGCATCAACATTTAAAAATTTTCAAAGGAAAAAATCAAAAAGGAAAAATCAGGGAAAAATCAATATTGCATGAGTCTACCAGCAAGTGTACAACTTGATTCTTTTCACTGCAAGAATTTAAAGTCTTGATACCCTCCCAAGGCAATTAAATAAACACATGAAAAGAAATAAAAAAAATTGGGGAAAAAACCCTCTCTTTATATGGTAATTAAAATGCTTCTGTTAGGAAACTATTGGGATTTGCCTGATGGTCTTAGCTATTTTGCATAAATTTATTGATCCATCTCCAACCTGTTCGCCATAGAATGCTCATTTTCTTTTGGAAATTGTTTTGCACGTCACACAGTTTTTTCTGTACCTATACATTTTTGTTCTCTTTCAAGTTATGTTACTTCTTTCTCTGCTGTTGCTAGTTATATTATATGTGTCTTCATGTTGCTTTCTGTGGTCCATCATGGGCTGCACGTGCTAGTGATTGTATATG